CACAAATTAAAAAATTAAAATGGATAAATTTGTCAATAAAATTAAAAAATTTTAATCCGTTAGTGGTTTAGTACAAAAAGTTACATAAACTAGCTTTTTCAATCCGCTAGCAGTTTGGACCCTAACCATTATCCGTTAGTCTTAAACCACTAAATAAAAATTTTATCAAATACTTTATTTATAACAGTTTCAAAATATATAAATTTACCAAACACTTATATTTAACGATTTAGGTAAAACCACTAACCATTACTCTAAAATCGCTACATCAAACATGCCCTAAACCTAATGAACTTTATTATCTATTCGAAGTCCCAAACCCAAACTCATACGACGTTGACTCCGTTGAGCCCAAAATCTAATTGAACACTAGTTCTCTGGCATCCTGTAGAAATCAACTATACATGAATTTCTGCCTTCGTTTCTTGCTGTGAGCTCATCCACACAGTTAATCATACGCACATAACATCTTTTCATCTCACAATCTATATTATATTATTAAGGGAAAATTTGCTATATGTCTCATTTATATGTTTTCTTGAATTTACTTTTTTTTTACATGTGACTTGATTTTTCTTTTCAATTTTTTTTTAAATGTGATCATTATTACTAGAGTAACAAAAGTAAAAAATGTCATACCATTTAATGAATTATTCTATCATCAATTAGTATATTACAACTATATATTGAAATTATGCTGTAATAGCCCAAAAATTTCAAGAACATTAAAGTTGAGTTAGGACTTAATGGTGAGGAAACGTTATTAATGAACCTAATAGTCAAAATTTCAAATTCCAAAGGGGTCAAAAGATTTTTGGATAAGGCCGGCTGACTTTCCTTCTTTATCTTTTTTTTCTTTCTCTCTTTCTTCCCCAGCCATTTTCGCGTGTCTGCTCTGTCTCTTTTCTCCCTGCAGCCGGAAATAAACCAGCCATCACCGACGCCCCCACCTGAGAAATTGGTAAGAGAACTTGATGATTTTTGTTCTCTTCTTGTTCAAGAACAAGTCTAGGACTTAGAAATCTTCTCCCTTGCAGAAAATTCTCCAGATCTGTTGTCTTCTTCCTCCCCTGCAGCCGGTTGCTGTTGGGTGTGAGCTTCGGTTCTCTTGGTAAAATTCAGCCATGAATTTCCTCTTTTCAGCCTTGATGTATGTGGGTTCACTCTAATTTTCATTTCTTTCAATTGCTAGTGGTCCCCGTGGAAGCCCTCCAATTTTCCCGCCAACTCTTCCCCATACCCGCCAGCTCCAGCCTTGCTTGCTGAGAATTTCTGGTAGGTTGGCTTCTCTAATTTCCAAAAATTGGTTGATTAATTGCTACCTTGTTGAGCTTAATTGGTTGTATGGGTGCTTGGGTTGTCCGAAAATCTGCTGGAAGTGGGGGATGAATTTTGGCAGCCTTGAAATGAGTTTTTAAGTCAAATTATGTAGGAAATCCTTTAATTGGGCTGCTGTGATGTTGTATGAAAGAAAAAGAGGAAAATTCCGTGACTTGCCCATTTTTGTCAAAACCGGTTCTCCCATTTCTTGTCCATGAATTTGGAAAAATTGTATATGTGTAACTATGTATATATATATATAAATGCACAATCTAATGTTGTGTGCCCAAATTTCGGATAGGAGAAAAAAAAAAATAAATAAAGAAATAAAATTTCTTTATAGATATTAATTCAGAAATATTGTGATTAGTTCCTTGATCGTCCTGTGATCTTAGCACTAGGGTTAAGCCTTCTGTCCTGTGCGATTAAGGTAAGTAAATTATGGTAATGCCTTTAAATTTTAAAGCATATTTTAACTTGTTTTTGAGATGGTGGTAAGGTTTAAATGGATTTATTTGCATTTGAGCATGATTAAAATGGAAATTGAACTTTTATTATTTTCCTTATTTTCTAGAATTGAGCATGCCCACATAAAATTCTTTCGGTTTATTCTTGAAAGTGAGAACGAAAGTGAATCGTGGAAATTTTTCTGTAAATCTTGATTGATTTTGTCTCCGATGTGGTCATGTTATTCGTGTGCCCGTTAATGGGAGGTTTATAAACGCTAGCACATGTCGACATGTTACTGATAGAACAGATTCGCTCGTGTTATCCTACTAGTGGGATTATACACTAGTAATCGTGTGCTTGCCAGTGGGAGGTTTATAACACTGGTCATGACTAATAGAGGAGATCACTATTTAATTTTATTCTGTATTAATGGTTTGTTATTGAGACGCTCTGTTTATGTTTAAACTTTTTATTTGGCATGCTTTAAATTTTGATCCTGGGCATTCATATTTACTTACTGAGATATTTCATCTCACAGTTTTCCTTGTCCACCATTTCAGGTAGTGAGACCCAACGCATGGGGAGCCCGGGGGAGTGACAAGTTAGACGGCTAGGCATTATTTTGGACTTAAGTTTTCATAGCTAGGCCGCTAGTCACCCATGTTGACTCAGAAAATTTTTGTGTACAGAACTCCCTTAGTTATAGTCATGACTGTATAGATGAAGTTATAAATCTTTGTACATATTGACTAGTAAATATTTAAGAAAAAAAAAGAGAACTAGATATTACTTGATTTCTAAATCTGAATTATTTGAATTAGTAATTATGAACTTAGCAATTTTGAGCCTTGTGCATTTATGGGATCCGTTCCCGAATGCACGGTGTCTGTTTCGCTCTTGGTTTTGGGGCGTGACATATGCAATAATACATTTTGTTGGCTGCACTTTTTTTCCCCAAGAACTGGAACGTTTTGCTTTTTGTTTTTTGGCTACTTCTTGCAACAATTCCATTTCCTTTTTCTAAGTAATCAATAACTAATAATAATTAATACAACAATATTCAAATTTGAATAGTGATTATATGATATTTGTAAAATTAAAGAAAGTGTAAAACTTTATTTTTTTCAACAATATTAGAGCCACTCATGTAAGGAGAGTTAGGTATGAAAAAACAACAATGTCAACATAAAAGTCTTAAACTTAGATGCATACAAAATCAAACATAGAAAAGTCCTCTGTTCTCCCTCTCAATTATGGAATGATGTTATTACCACTCTTAATTATTAATACTACATTTTTTTATTTTAATTGACTATTATACCTTTTAATTTATTAATAAACAAAAAAATTGTAAAATTTTGAAAAAAAATAACTTAAGGGTAAAATAGATAATTAAATTAAAATAATGTGGCATTAGTTGTTTAAGATGTAACAATAATCCCACTCCCTTTATGTTATATCTTTCAAGTTTTTTTCTTTTTTCAACATGGGGGAATTATGGGGGAGGGGGAATTTTTGCAAGTGGTTGGTGGGAGTCGAACTCCCGACCAACTCAACCCAAGTACTAAGGCTTGGGATGAACCATTGAAGACTTGGTTCTATATCTTTCAAGTTTTATTAATACCATTTCATGAAATTTGAATAGTGATTACATGATATCTGTAAAATTAAAAAAAGTGTGAAGTTTTTTTTTTCAACAGTATAAGAGCTGCTCGTGTAGAGAGAATTAGGCATAAGAAACAACAATGTTAGTAAAAAAGTCTTAAATTTAGATGCATACAAAATCGAGCATAAAAAAAAAAAAAATCCTTTTTTCTCCCTCTTATGGGGTGATGTTTTTACCACGTTTTCAATTATTAATGCTATACTTTTTTTATTTTAATTGACTATTATACCTTCTAATTTATTAAGAAACAAAAAATATAAAATTTTGAGAAAAAATGTAACTTAAGGGTATAATGGATAATTACATTAAAATGATGTGGTATTAATTATTTAGAATGTAACAATAACCCCACCCCTTTTATGTTATATTATTGAAGTTTTATTAATACTATTTCATTAAACTGTACTTATTTTCTTTTTAATTCTAAATTCTATCCAATTATTAAATTTGATTAGACTTGATGCTCTTCACCTTCTATTTGTTTTTTGTTTTTTTTTTTTTTGGATCAATTATTTGGTCATGTTGCATTAGAAATTTATTTTATATCTATTTATTTATTAAGGGAGAAACTAATGAAGAAAAATCATGTCATGTGTTAAAATTTTATACAATCTTTAATTTATGATTCTTTTGAGATATGAGAAAACTTTCCTTATTTAGTAACTTTTTTTTGCAATAGAATATTTCTTATGTTGTTGTTTAATGAGATGAGTTATTGTCATAATCCAAAATTATGGTAAAAAAAATTCAAATCCAAAAGGTTAATTAATGCCACTTGACTACAATACCCTCAGCATATATTTACTATTACTTTTTGTTAATTAAAATATCATTTTAAATCAAAAATTGATTAAAAAGATAAATTATTTGGAATAAATTATATGAGAAAAGTGCACATTAACATATTTAATTTATAATAATAAAAGAAAAACTACTAGAATTTTTTACTATACTACTTTCCAAATTAAGCATTTATTATTTTTAAGCCTGAATTTTTTAGAATTTAAGAAGAACAATTTTATTTTTCAATATTTAAGATTTAACATGTAAAATTAAAAATTTAAACTTTAGAGTTTTATAATTTTAGAGTTTTGGATTTTAAAATTTTAGATTTCAATAATAAAATTTAAAGGTTGAAGTTTTTAAAATTTATGATTTATAGTTTTAGGATTTAAATTTGGACTAGAATTTAATATTTAATATTTTTTTGATCAATTTAAAGCTATAATACTTTTAGGAGGCATTTTAATATGACTCTCTTTTTTAGGATTTATAATTTTAGAGTTTTAGATTTTAAAATTTTAGAATTCAATAATAAGAATTTAAATGTTGAAATTTTTTAAATTTATGATTTAGAGTTTTAGGAATTAAATTTGGATTGGAATTCAATATTTAATTTTTTGTTATCAATTTAAAACCATAACATTTTCAGGTGGCATTTTAATTTGACTTTCTTTTTTAGGTTTTTTTAATTTTTTTTAAATTTTCTCAAAAGTATTTACTTTTATGTTTCTTCTTAATTCTAGATATATATTTACTTATTAGTAATTTACATATTTCAGTATTTTAGAATCCATAATTAAACCATGCATTTCATATTGTACTCTTATGTTACTTTATGAGTTGTGTTACATTGATAGATATTATGTTCAATTTTTGATAAAGTTGTTTTTGTTTCCTGTTAGAATAATGTTTTTTTTTTCCTTATTTGTGTCATATCTAATACTCTAGATCTATTTTGGTATTTTTTAAAATTATTTTTCAATAAAATTTAAATTAGTTCCAATTTAGAGATGCTCTCCTTAATATTTAATATTTTGATAGTAATATTCTAGTTTAATATTTTAGATCAAAGAAGATTTGCAATTATTTAAGCAACTTAACTTTTACACTTCCTTTTTTTTTTTTTTTTTTTTTTTGGCTTTAGGATTTTCAAATCTCTTCAAAAGGTGTGTTTGGTTTGAAGGAAGGGAAGTGATGGATTTGTTAACCAATTAGATTGCAATATTTGAAAATATTATAATTTAATTGGTTATAAAATACATCTCTTTTGGCAATAACTTAGATAACTTAGTAATAATTTTTTTCCAATGGAAGAAAAAGATCCAAAATTTGAATCAAATAGCATGTGGGTGGGGTGGATTAAGAGATAAGAGAGGGTTACTTCCCATTGTGCACTGAGAGGGTTGTCTTAAAGAAAAAAAAAAAAAAAAGAAAGAAAAACCTCATTTGTTCTCTTTCATCTATTTCCTTCAAATTAAATTTTAAAAGTGGTAATTTCCCCTTTCCTCTCATTGGGACCCTATTTAATGTACCCTTAAAAATGCAATAAATTTTTTCTATAAATTATTGTAAATTAGGTTTAACCCACACTTTAATAAATTTTAATATATTTACCTAATTCATCATTCATTTTAATGAAAAATCCAATATTCATTATGCAGTTCAAGTTTAACTTAACTACTCAACATATTTGTCATTTAATATTGTAAAGAAAAAAATTATATTGTAAATTTTTATAAATTATTACAAATTAAAATGAGAATGAGGGAAGATTTTTTTTTTCTCCTTAAAAAAATACCACGGGGAGGGGGAGTGCCCTATGATTGTGTGGGGCCTTGTTACTATTGCTAATATCTCCATATTAACAATTAAAATTGTAATATCCCAAATTTTCTAAAAACCTTACACTTTAAGTTAGGGACTTATGTGGGAGAATTTATCATTTGTTGGGCCTAATGACTAAAAATTTTAAACGTAAAGGGGGGAGCTGAAAAAAAAAAGAGGGGGTATAGCTCCTGATCCTTTTCCTTTTCCTTATGGGAACCCTAGGCTTAGCCATCACCATAATCATTCCTTAATTTCCATCACCATTTCTTTGCTCTTCGCCACCCTTCATCACCGATCTCACCATTCCAGACCTTTCTCTTCCATTTTTCCCAACTCCCTAAGTTGCAAACCATTGTTTCCACCTCACAGCAGCTGCGCATCATCTTCAAAAACTCCTGGGTCTGTCCTTTCTACTAGAAATTTGCTGGCCTTCTCAATTTCTTGCTGTCTCTACAGCTCGGATCTCCATTTCTAGGAAGACCCGCAGCCTCCCACTAGATTTTTTTGGTAAGATTAAGCACAAAATTGCTTCCTTTCCTTAATTTCAATAGATATAGTGTAAATTTTGACTGTTTGAATCGGGAAATTGTATGTGCTCTTTCTTGCTTCTAAGTTTGCTGCACTATTGAGGCCTGTTGTGGTTGTTAGTGTAGATTAATTGTCACATTTTGCTCTAGGTGCAGAAAATGTTTTGAATGACTTGATTGTCGTGATTGGTTGATTATCTTGTGAATTCTTGTTGTCATGCTCGCCTTGCTGCAGTTTTTCACATTTTAAGCCTACTGTTCTGTTATGAAAATCCCCATTGTCATGACTGCATTTGTTGCTGCATTTTGCTTGAATCATTGCTGCTTTTACTGCTGCATTTTGCTTGAATCTTAGCTAATTTGTTGTTGTTTTACCCAAAAAATCCTACTTTTTTTGCCATAAAATTTTTCTGTTCGCCTAGAAAATTCTGCTATTTTGCTGTTATTTTGTTGCTATTTTTGTTGTTGTTTTACCGAGAAAATCCTACTGTTTTTGCCATAAAATTCTACTGTTTAACCTAGAAAAAAAATTCTGCATTTTTTTGCATTTCCCTTGTTGTTTTCTACACTGTTTAACTCAGAAAAAAAAAAATTTCGCATTTTTTTGCATTTCCCTTCTTGTTTTCTGCATTGTTTTAAACCAGAAAATTTTGTATTTTCCTTCACTTTCCCCTGCTGTTTTTGTCATAAAATTTTGCTGTTTTTACCCAGAAAATGCTGCTATTTTGCTGCTGTTTTACTGCTGTTTTGCCCATAAATGCTGCTGTTGCATATGACAATGAGAGTTGTTTTAAGCACACTCTAAGTGTGGTTAAACATATTTATATGTTAATAAGATTTCAAAGGGGTAGAAATAGTAGGGGGTGTGGAGGAAGAAATTGTTACCTTCGATAGAAACTTGATTTTTGGAATTTGAAGCCAATTTAACTAAATGAGGTACATTGTAATCTTGTTTGTTCTTCAATGTGGCATAGGTTCCAAGTCACCACCATCTCCTTGAAACCTTGAATACTTGTTGTTGTAAGCCTACAAGAAGAGGTAAGTAAAAGTATGGTAATGCCTTTGGTTTTGAGGTAAAGGTTTTTGAAAGCATATTTTTGACCGTTTTTGAAATGGTAGTAAGACTAAACCCGTTTTACACAAACACGAGTATGATTGGTTTGAAATGAAATTATTATCATTTTCATTAAGAATGTCTACTTGGAGTTTACTAGACTGGCCTGATGATCTGGAAATTATTTGTAAATTATGGTTTTCCTGTTAAATCTTGCTTAGTTTTGTCTCTAATATGGTCATGTTTTATTGTGTCCGCTAGTGGGAGATTTATAAACGCTAACACATGTTGACATGTTAATTGTGGAACCGGTTCATGTTATATTGTTATCCTGCTAGTGGGATTATACACTAGCAAATCTTGTGCTTGCCAATGGGAGTTTTATAAACACTGGTCATGACTTATAGAGGAGACGTCTATTTCATTTCCCATATTCGTATTGTTTTTCTTAAAATTTTATTACACTTGATGGCATGCTTAATTATAAAGGAGGATTATCCATATTTTACTTACTAAGACATCTCATAGTTTTTCGTTGTCAACCATTTCAGGTAGTGAGATCCGAGACACGGGAAACCAAGGGGAGTGACAAGATAGAAAGCTAGCCTCTTGTCTTTTGGAGTTAGGTTGCCAAGAAAAAAAAAAATTGGACATAGCCTTTGGATCATAAAGCATTCTTTTGTAAACCAGACTTTCTAAGATAGTAAAGGCTATATGTGATGGACTTGTATAAGTTTTTATATACTATTAGCCTAGTAAAGCTTTGGTTCTTGAAAGTCAAATTTTATTTTAAGATATTGATCTTAGTTATGAATTGTTAGTTATGAATTAAGCAGGTTTGAGTCTTGTATATTTGTGGGATCCTTTCACAAGTGCACTGTATTTGTTTCACTCTCGATTCTAGGGCGTGACAAAAATGTTCATACTTATTGAGAATTTGGAACAAAATCATCCATGTTGTGTATACTAAGAATGTTATTGTTTCTTTTATCGGTTGATTAAGAGTTAGCATTAATGCTTTTTTTGGTTTGAGGGAGATGAGATGATGAGACACTTCTCCATTTGGATAATAAAAAATTTGAGGGGAAATGAGGGGAGGTGATCCATTATTATTATTATTATTTTGCATTTTAGTCTAATCAAACAAAGGGAGAGGATTTTGTTTCCCTTAAACCAAATATGAGTTAAATACATAGATAATTCTCTTATTTCAGTCTGATTTATCTAATAAGCAATTTAATTTATCAATTTTTTTATTCAATCTAATTTATGTAATAGACAACTTGATATGCTTTGTTGGCATAAAGCTCCTCTATATTTTATTAAAACATTAATACTGAAGCGGTTGCCTTTCTTAAACCTATTGGCAGAAGAGAGATCTTCATAGATTATATTGACAATTAAATTCTAAGGTTTGCCAGGAATATAGAATAGAGTAAGTGTTAAGCTTTAAGATATAAAGGATAACCTCTAACTTTATTGTTGTCAAAGGGCTTTATAAAATTAACACTGAGTTTGACTCTTTTTATGCTATTCAATTATTGTTTGCCAATGTCTCTAACATTTTAAATTGCAAAGAACTCATGAAGAATTTTGTTTTAACTCAACATTGCAACATGTCAATAAGGATAGCTATATGTGTACTAACCAACTTCTCAAGAAGGGAATATCACTTTCTTTAATTTATGTTGTTTTTGATAAGCGTCCATCTCTTCTGGTTACATTTTATTTTGTTTATGTACTAGGGGTTCACTTTCTCAAACCTCCTTAATGAAGAAGAAAAAAAATAAGTAATAACTTATTTTTCTTCAAAACATTAGTATTCCTCATTTCTATTTCAAGTGTTTAATTAATAGTATGTTTGTTTGGGTTGAGGGGAGGGAAAGATTTTTTGACCAATCAGATTACAATATTTAACAACATGTTATAATTTTTCATGAATTGAATTTATATACATATTAATGTGGAATTTTTATCTTGATATTATTGATATTTGGATGACTTTTATGAGATTTTATTTGATTTTACATAATTTTTATTCTTTGTATAGGAAAGGACTTAATTGAAAGAAATCATAATTTTTAAGAGCAAATTGTAGAGATCAAAAAGTTGATGATAAGTTGTGTAGAATCCAGAAGTCAGGGACTAGGACTGTAATTTTACCATTAACAGAAATTGCTTAGAAGGCCAAAAATCCCGACACAGTGATGTTGGTGTGCGCTGAGCAGGTGTCGAGACCTTGTTGAAGGTATTGACCCCTTATGCAATTTTAAAAAATTCGTGACTAATTTATTATTTTGGGTGTGGGTTCCATTTTTATTTGAATTAAAGTTTTTAAAATCTTATAAATACTCATCCAAATTCAAAATTGAAAGAGTTTGGGAGGTTGGTGGCAGCCCTCTTTTGGGCATTATTAGAAATAAAGATAAATGATTTATCAACAATAAAAGATCAAGGAGTTTAACTCCCTTAAATTAGGTTTTGTTTTTCCTTAGATTTTTTTATCTATTGTTTGATATTCAAATATTCATAATTATAATTTCGAGTTTTATTATAAACTGATTTAATCAACTATGATTAAGATGTAGCCTAATCAATTCAATATAGGTTTTTATGATTTTTACATTTTTAAGATTGCTATTCCATGATGAGTATATATTATTGTTCTTAATGCTTTTTAATGCTTGATCACCATTAAAATTGATTTGGAAAGCATAATTAAGACTGAAAAGAGAGTTTATGCAATAGTTTTTGGCAATATATACTATGAATTGAATGAAAGTCAGAGATGGACCAACGTTATTTGTGCAACATTAGTGATAAGTGGACTTAATTTTCAATGTAAACTAAGGAATTTCATAGAATATAATGCATCTTCATCTATTTAAATTCACATAAAGATATAATGGGTTAATAGATTAATATAGGTTTGGTATAGGAAAAAGTATATTGAATAGGATAGGAAATCCCGTTGTCACATGAATAGTAAACATATTGAAAGTATAATAATTGAAAATTCATGTTAATTGATTATGGTGAAGTCGATGCCTTAGCACCTCATATCTTAGTTAATTTTATTGTTATTTCCTTATCATTTTTAATTAAAGCTTCTTTTTCTTCGATTGTTCAAATAAATTTAAATTAATTATTTTGGTATTTAATTAATCACAATCTTCATGGATTTGACACTCTCCTTATTATTATATTACTTGGAGCGACTAATACACTTGCTAAAGTGATTTTAGCGCATCAATTTGATTAGTTGAAAAATCTTCCCCTCCACTCCTAAAACCACCCGAATCGAAATTTGCCACTGATCCAAAGTCCATGGGCTCTTAAAAGCTCAAACTTAAGTTATTAGTAGTGGTTGGTTTCCATAATTATATATCATACTTACTCACAAGTCCTCAATATAAGATTTGGGGTGTTCCACCTCCATTTCCCAAACATATTATGAGTTGTTTCTTCTCTATTTTTGATATTATAAAAATTCTCTTATTTGTATAAAAATATAAATGATACTCTAAATTAATGCGTGAAAATAAACATAAGTTTAGACAAAAAGGTTTTTT